AGCCCTTGAGATAGATCCCTGCCAGCACTGCCTAAGGGGAAAAGCCATTCCTTGCATGGAATTCCAAACCAAGCAAGTCAACAGCAAGGAAAAGTCCATGCACCTCCCACTGTCCTCTCCAGAGCATCCCATGGGGTTTCAGAGATGCAGGCTAACATGTCTCAGGATGGGTCTGGACTTGAACCCTACAGCAACACGGGTGACAAGGACCCTGCAGAAATACACATAGAGTCTGCGCAGACCAAAACACACGGGTTGATATCGTGCGAAAACAATTAAGGAAGCCTCATGAAGGGAACCAGTTTCCAAGGGGGATATTGCCTAAAGAGAGACCTCGTGGGGGCCAGAGGGGGGATTTTCTTGTTCTCCATTTCTGCCCTCCGATAGTTTTGCGCTAAACACTCTTGACTCTCAAGGAGACTGTGGTTATAGCCCTGACTTCAGGGTCCTGAAAGCAAAGGCTTCCTTGTGTCCCTCCTTCCGAAAGGATAAAGGGAAAAGGGAATGAGAACATGACAATCTTTTTTTTTTCTTGGGTAACAGCAGCCCCCTTTAATAGTGCCCCTTGGATCTGTAAGACATGCTTGACCAGACATACCTCTGGAAGAGGTCAGCACTCCTGGGATTAAGAAACTTAGCAACGCTCCAGAGAGGGAGTTGGAAAGTCATGTTTAATGATACTTTGCTGAGAAACTGGGCAAATTTAATTAAAACATCACTTACTCAAGCCCAGTGGAACTAATTGAGTGCTCTAATATTCCGACTTTTCATTAATGGGTTACAAAAGAGGGCTGCACTTGTGTGTACAAGGGGGAAAAAAAAGGGGAGAGGATATAGAGAAGAAGAGAGCTTTAGCAAGGCTGCCTGTGCTTCATTTAATATAACCAAGAAACTTCATTGCTGGCAACGGACCTTTAATACAGTTGACTTCTCTCACCACCACCAGTCCCCCACATCCCCTTGACACATACACACATCTCCCCCCAACACATACCCCTTCCACCCAAGACCCCTCTGAAAGAATAGCTGAATGAGCAAGCGTAGATTTGGCAAAGGAAGGGAAATTGCTTTTTTAATAAGTGGTCTATTCAGAGCTCCTACTTTTCAATAAAGAGAAGGCTGGAGAAGTCCTGGTCTAATTACCTCATCCTCACACTAGACAAGCTTGCCCTTTCATTAGCAATTGAGGTCATATCATATAACTTTGTGAGCCATCACAGCCACAACACGTTCAGTGATTAGTTCATTGGTGGTGGCAAAATTACAGTCGGCCCATCAAGGTTGTAAAAAAACAAGTAAAATAATAATTAAATGAGAACGTCTACCAAGAGACACTAAAACTAGGCGGGATAGGATAAAGCCACCCTCGCAGAAATACGCAGATTGTTTGCTAGTGTGACACCATGGAGAAAGTGCTGCGTTGACCAGAAGGGTATAGGGTTGGTTGCCAAATCAGTCAATTAACCACAGGTCCTTTTTTGCTGGGTCTCAAGGGACTATTTATATGTTTTGCCATGGCTGGGAGTAATTAGATGGGAAGGATTATATGTTGTTAAGAATCAGTGAGAGACCACCAAGCTTGTGCTATATCTTTAATAGATATTCCTCCACTCCCTCAGCGAACACACACATGCACATCCATCCATCCACTGTAAGCACCCCAACATAGCCTAGCACTGTAGCAAGCTCCTGTAGCAAAACAAAGTACTGGAAAAGAAAGTCTTTGTCTATTCTCAGCCCAGTCCAAAGCAGTCTGTAGTGCAAAGATTTTGGTTCATGCATGTATGGCTTCACTACCAGACATAAAATCTGCGGTTTGGTTAGAAGAAAAATGCAGCGGGTGCCGAGCAGGAATTCAGGAGAGCTGGTTTCAGTCTCCTGCTCCATCATCAGCTTGCTGCATAACCTTGGGAAAGCCATTCAGTTTGCATCTCAGCTCCTGTCTGAAATGGCCATAATCATCTTTTTGGAACTCACAGGGACATTTAACACATTAGAAGCCATAAGAGCATCTTAGTTATATAATGAGGGCTCCAGTTCAAAATTGTTCAGTTCCAAAATAGCTTTGATTTGTGCCATCTGCACTCCTCCTATATTGCCTTTGATTCACATCAAATCGAATACATATGAGTTCTTGTCCAGATAACCAAACTCAGTTAGTTCAAAGTGGTTTCAGACTGTTATTAGTCACTAGGTTAGCATCTCCTGCTAGTCAATGGTTGGAAGGTCTATACAGCAGCAGTTAGTCGATGGGCAGCTTCTTTGAAAAAAGAAGAGTAGAGGAAACATACTGAGTTTTATATTTAACCCACTACCTTCATCGAGGAAAATATCAATAAATTCAGCAAATTCAACCTAGTACTGCCTGCTGAGCAGCTCTCATCCTCCACCAACACTGCACTTGCGGTGGGACCAGGAGGCAGGAAGCAGATTGAACCTGGTATTAATCTACACCCAAGTGTAAGCAATGCCAGAGACAATCCATCAACCACACCAAGAAGGTCAATGCTCAGGCTTCAAATCAGTTGCAATATTTTGAAATCAGAAGCAAGTGCTGCAAGTTGACCTTGCGATTACAAAGCCAGCCTGGGTCCTCATCTCCAACTCAGACATCTCTCACCATCATCTTAATGACATCGTCTTGTGCCAGTGGTTTAGGTCCACATACCCTGACTACATAGACATATGTTCTCCTGATCTTGAGCCACCATCCTCCTAAAAGCCTCCTTCTCCACATGCAGTTCGCTTGTTCTCTGCCTGCCTTCACGGTGGTGGTGTGAATCTGGTGGGTTGCTTGGCTTGCCTTTTAACCAGACTATGGTACAATTATTCCAGGAGCATAAACAGAGAAATTGTTTCAAGTGCTGCTGCAAATAGGCAAGGAAAGCTGTCAGACAGCAATACCAACACGACAGACACTGCGTGGGTGGACGAAAATAGGAACACCAGATCACTGACCTGCAGCAAAGGTCTTTGACTTGGATTGCCGTGAGGGCTCTCAGTGTCTGGACAACCGTCACAACTGTTACTCAGCTGTTTAGCTGCAGATACTACACTAGTGCTTAGAAACCACTGCCAATGACCAGAGCCTGACTGTGCCAAGCGGAGGCAGAGGATGCAAGAGAGTCTCTGACATCTCCCCTTCCTCTGGGAAATAACTCACGGTGGGATGAGGACAAGAAAGGGCAAGAAAGAGGAGATTCACTCCCTCCAGCTCATCCTTGGAGTTCATTTAACTCAAAGTCACATAGGCAGTGTAGAGCAGAAATGACAAATAAGGACACCTAACCTAAATCCGAGACTGGATCTCAGCAATATGGGTGTCCTGACTGCAGCTACTGAGGTGGAGAGCACTGGGAGTCAGGTCAAATCCCTTCAGCAAGTTTTTTTAGCCCCACCACTGCTGAAAGGGAGATATTCAGAGTTACAAGAACATGTTAATGGCACCTAAAGCCACAGCCTTGTAGGTTTTGATGAGACTATATTATATGACTCTGGAAAGGAAGGAGAGCTGGGACATCTCACAGCAATCTCCAGCATGAAATCACAGCCTCCACAGACCACCTTCTCCGTTTTCAGTCCCATCTGCTACACAGCCAACTCCAAAGAGTTGGGACAGGCCCTCAGGAACAACCAACCACAAGGATTAAAACAAATTTCATCACCCTGCAAAGCCTGTTTCACACGCCAGAGAGCTGCAACAGGAGTTCAGAGGCACTGAGCCTTTTAATCCAGAGGCAGAAAAGCTGTCAGCCAAAGCCAGACACCAGCTAAATCTGGGATATTTCTAATCCTGATCTCAGCGCTGTCTAGGAGCATCTGGTGGTGAGGAGAGGGGGAGACTTGTTGCTGGCCAGCACTCACTGGTGGCGTTCTCCGCTGCCCCAACTCTGTCACGAGGAATGACATTTTATGCATACACACGGGAACAACTGAGCTGGGGTGGTGATTCCTAGAATGCACAACTGGCTGGGCTGCATTCGCCTGGGAAACTGGAGACCCAGGTCCCCCATCCCAGCCCCAACCCTCCATCCAATCACACGGACAATAACAAGGCTTGAAGGCTATTTATAGCCTTACAGTATGTCCCCCTCTGAGGTTGGCGCAATGAAACACTGATCCTAGGCACCTGTGCTGGCCAATCTGAGGGATTTTAATGTTGGAGCAACTCTAGGCTAGGTACAGCCAAGAAGATTACAGGAGAAGGTGGAAAGCCCCTTCCTTTCCCTTCTCTTGCTGGGATGACGCAGCAATTGCAGACACTTCGTTCTTTACATCAGTCCTGCAGGGAAGCTTCCAGGCAGGAGGGTAAAGCTTCGTGGGAAGAACAAGGGGTAAAGAGCAGAGAGTCCTCCAGCAGAGAGGATAAGGATGGGAAAAGAAAAAAAAAAGGGGTCTATACACCCAAGCACTGTCAGCTGCAAACCCAGCAGCTCTAGGCTACACGGAAGGCTTCTGCCAGAAAACGAGGCTGAAGGGACTTTTAGGACTGAGGTCAGTCAGAGAATAAGAGCTGAACCCTGGTTCCCTGCCAGGTGTTTGTCCAGAGGCTTTTAAAGAAACCTGGCGACAGATGTGCTAGACTGTCCATGCTCTGCTGAACTGCAGCAAGAAAAGCATCCCTCAACCTGTTGTGGCAGCGTAAACCCCCTCCTCCTTGTCCAACCTCACATAAGCCTGAGGAACCTGTCTTTTCATCGCTTTGTAGTGTAAGACCCTCTCTTCCCTGTGGAAAGCCGGCAATTTTTGTCCCCACCTCGTGTTTTCTAGACCTGGACAGTCCTGTTCCTTTCCCTCTGGTCCCCCTCCAGTGGTTTCGCACAACTCTTGAAGCCCAGTGACAAAACCAAGGTATAGTCCCATAACTAAGACTTGCCCCTTCCAGCAGAAGGACCACTCCATGCTTTTTGCATCCAACATTCCTGTCTCCGCACCCAAGCGCGGCATCTTATTGCCCCCACGACGGCATGAACCCCCACCCCGAGCAGCCTGCAACGCACCTTCATGCCCACCAGGTTATTGTGGAAGTCCACCCTGGCTCGCAGGTCCTTGTTGGGCTTCCTCCCCAGGAACTCCTTGACGAACTTGTTGCTGTATTTCAGGTTGTCGCCGCAGCCGCCCCACTGCCAAGCTTCACGGTTCTCCAAGTCGGGGGCCTCGTCGCAGGTGCAACGCTCCATCCGCCCCGCGCTGCACGCCTTGGCCATGGCGTGCGTCAGCCCCGCGGAGGAGATGGCGTACAAGAAGGCTGTCTCCTTAAAACCTGCAGGAGAGAGGAGGCAGCGGCTTTAATTGCAGCCAGAGCAAGGGTTAAGAAAAGAAAAAAATGAGGGAACTGAGGGAAAACCCATTGTGAAAAGAGTCTGAGCGATGTCAAAGTGTGCCAAGCTCTACGCGCATCGCTGACGGTGGAGAGGACACAGTGGAGGTGGCATGAGCCAGGATTCAAGAATGCAAATGAAATCTGGCCGGCTCTGTGGCTGCCACTCTTCAGATAGTCTCTGCCTGAAAAGAGGAAGGCATGAGCAAGAGCTGGACAGGCCATGGAGGTACCATCACCGTGGTATAGCGATACTACTACCAAGGCGACACCAAACAGCAGGAACCCTGCTTAGACTTCCAGTCTGATGGTTGGGGTAGAAACCATGAGCACCCCTTGCTCTTTCCTCTCCTCCTGAAAAAAAAATAATTACTGGGTCCTACTCCAGTCCAACAAGATTGATAACAGAAGGCACCTGAGGGCAGGGAAGCACACAGTAGCCAGCCTGTCACCTAACACAGCACCTTAAATGCCGCAAAAAAGCAGTTTACACATCAAACCTTTCATGTACAACCTCTTTTTACACCTCCATGCTCAGCTGCAGGGATGTGACAGCATCCGCTCCCCCCAGTAGGTAAACTGAGGCCCAGAGAGACCCATGATTTCGATCTGTATGATAAAAGACAGAAATAAAAAGCAAACATGCCCGTATTTATAGCTCCTCATTCTCCAGCTATGGAAGCTGTAAACGACTGCATATCTGAGATGCAATTCCAGAACAGCTTTGGATCAGACTCAAGAAATCCCCCACTCAAAAATAACACAAGTGGATGGTGACAGTAGTGGATATATCTGTAAGCTGGTGTGTCAACCAAGGACATGCAGAGACACTGCCAGGTCATTTTTGGAACTGTTCCTTGGGAGGTTCATGGTAGTCCAAGCAAGCTCATGGGGTGCTACCCTGGCCCATCCCCAGAGCCTGCCTTCCCAAAGCACTCCCAAGTGTACGATGCTGAGCTTCAGCAGAACACAGATGAAAATCCAGCCCTGAAGACTGAGGTTTGGTCCTCCCAAGGGGGCTGAGTCAAACCAGATCTTGGTAGGAATTGTCCGACCACTCTACTGCTGGAAAAGCAAAGCAGGAACCTTTCCCTCACTGAAAGGAAGGTTAAAATAAAGAAGGCTCAACACCACACTCACCGAGGACACCATAAAGAGTGGTCACAGTTAAGAAACCCAATTTGGAGTTTTCCCCTCTTTGTTTTCTCCCTAAAGTTAGACTATGTCCTCTGGCACCCCAGAAACATCTTCAGCACTGCAAACACCCTCATCAGGAGCAGTAGGAGAATTCTTTACTTAATTCACACAAGAAAAACTCATGGGTATACGGACCACTGAACTCCTCCAAGTAGAAAATGCCTTCTAAACAGCTTTCGTCTTTTGTAGGCTAGTTCAGCTTTTTCTAGGTTATGCCCTAGGTCAGACTGCCCGCGCGCCTGTCAGAGGGATGCCACTGCTAGAGACAGATGCTCCCAGATTGTAGAATTGGCCCCTTGCCACTGCTACGACTTGTGCTACAAAATGGAGAGGTACCAGTGTGGTAACAAAGTCCTCGGTGGAATAGGGCCCGTAAACCCTCCTCCGAGAGTGAGACACTGCAATTAGCAGCAAAGAGCCTGGATGTGGTCCGATTTAGTAGAAAGCCTCAATCTACAACCTGCTTGAAGGCTTCCTGCTACGAAGCACTGAATTCAGAGAGGTTGTGAAGTCTCAGCAGAAAGTCAATGCCGTGCAACCACAGTGCATACCAGGTTTGACAGAAAGCCAGGAGGAATGGCTCGTTTGCCAGGTTCTCCCCCTCCATCAATCTCCCCATCAGCTTCGGCTCTACTCCTCCCTTTCTTCATCACTGAAAGCTTCACAAATTCCCAGTGCCCATCAGCACGGGTATCATCTCGCCCACAGGCAGCTCAGGCGGCTTCCAAGCAAGTCCATGTGACATTTGGCTCTGGCCAGATTTAAAGCCATCTCCGCCATGCACTATTTGATTGCACCAAGATATTTTGTAACAAGATAATGAGCTTTAAATCAATGCAGGCATTCTAACCCCCGTGCATCGACAGCCTGCCGTCCACAGCTATCCAGTTTCAACCATTTCCAAAATTGTTCACGAGTATCCAAAGAGGATAACAAGTCCCTTAAACAATCCCCCGTTATTTTAAGAAACAGGCTGCATCAGCCCAAGTTGCAAACCAGCAGCCAGGCTGTTCTGGTGACCAAGTGTAAAAAGGGAGGGAGAAACTTTTCTTCAGTGAAACGTGGGGTTTTTGGTTTTTTCTTCTCTCCTTAAAAAGCTGCAGTGGTCCTGGAGGAGAGGAAGCAAGCCCACACCGACATATTTGAATAGCTGTGTCGTAGTGGGTGATACATGTGCCCCTTTGCCCTGGGGTATCGCTTGCTGCAATGCTGAACCAGGAACCAGCAGCTCCTGGAGAGGAGGAGAAAGATTTACAGGGCAGCGTGTTATGCCACCGGAACAACATCTGAAGGATTTACAGCATCGGTGGAGGGCAGAGATGTTGCAGGGGCATAAAACATGGAAGAATGAGACAGCAGGCAGAGCCTTGCAGCCCTCAGAGCTATCATTTATTACACAGGGTCCTGACAAGGGGTGGCGGGGGGAGGTTCTCCGTCGTGTTTTAAGGCAGCTCAACTTCAGGCTGCTTTGAAATACCCCTTGCCGAGGGCTGCCCACCGGGGCAGGCACATCTGAAAGAACAAGCTGTGGCCTCCAGGTGTCAGCATGAGAAAGTGCTTGGCTTTCCCAAGGCACCACTAACCCAGGGACTCCTCTGGCATGCGGGGATATTTTTAAATGTCTTGCAGCCCTGGCTGGACCTCTTGGGTTTCATAAGGACTTTCCTTGTTTCCAGCACAGTGACAGTGCACTAGTTAAGCCCCAGCGCTTCTGAATTACTCCTTCTCGCTAATTAGCAAGGGAGGGCGCTTTGCAAACCTCTGCTCTTATTTTTGAGCATGTCAGACCCTGGGTTTCTAGGTCCAGCTCAATCACTGAGCATAGGACTTTCTGGAAGTCACTAAAGCCCTCGAGACCTGTGCAAACTATCTGTAAAATGGTCCTGCTGCACCGTTAGCTGCAATCCAGAAATAAGTGGATTTTACTGGGAGGGTGCACACAACTGGACTATGAGGTAGCACAAAAGAAGGAGATAAAAGTAGGACCTGCTCCTCCAGTATGCTCGCTCTCAGCTTCTGGTCAAGCTGGGAAGGGGTGTGGGAATTACCCACCGCTCACATCCAGGGAGCTTTTCAGGACAGACGAACATTTGTGTGCTTTGCCCTGCAACTACGATAGGGCTCCCCTTGCCCCCACTAACAGGGCAGCACAGAACAGTCCTTTCTGCCTTATTTCCCTTAACAAGGCATTTCCTCAACTTCTTTCCTGAAAGGTTGACATTATGAGTAGGAAAAAAAATAGAATAAAAAGAGAGGGGATGGGTTTGGGAACTTCAAGACCTTCTCCTCCAGAAACAGCTGAACTTCCAGCAGAAGCGAGGAGCGATCGCAGCTCCTTGGCTGCGGACACATGCACAAACACCTCCAGCCTCCAAGGAGAGAAGCCATGGCCAGCAACGGGAAGCAGACAGTACTAGTACAAGCACATAAATTACCACCATATAGCACATCCTTTGCCTGCCGTGCACTTTCACAGACGAGCTGAGCCTGGCTTGGTGTTTACCTTCTACAAGCTCTTTTTTGGACTTCTGGGGAGGTGGTGACCCACCACTGGCAAAGGATGCACCAGGATGACCGCTCTGCAAAATGCCAGGGACAGCTGATGGGTGCAGGGGATGCCAGCACCCCTCAGCTGAGAATTCCCCCCCCCGCTCACCTCTCTTTAGCAAGCTGGCCCGGTAGCGACCCTCGAGGGTGCAGTTCCAGCGCTCAAAGCGAAACTGGTACTGGCACTCCAGGGCGCTCATGCTGATGGCCTCCATCAGGGTCTCGGCCACGCCGGGGTCCCGCCGGCACATCCTACGCTGCTTCTTCTCCAGCTTCAGGCGGTCACAGACTTTGTAGTGGGCTTTGACGGCGGCTTCCTCCATTTCTGAGGTCAGAGGGAGGATGGTCAGGGGTTCGTTCCCCGTCAGCCTGCAGGGGAACAGAAGGGCACAGCAGTGAGGAGAGAGAAATACAGCCCGTGGTAGAACTGGGGGCGGCGGTGGGATCGGGGTCTCTTGGGCTGAGCACCCACGTGGACTTGCTGATGTCGGGGCAAGGAGGGATTTTACAGCGAGGCACCCTGCAGTGGGTGTGCAAGGTGGGAGCAAGAGAAGGGTAAGAAGTGATATTTGGATTTATGTTCTCTACCAGCTCTCTCAGAGCTTGTTCGGACATAAGACCTTGGCAATCTCCACCGCAGGACTGTGTTGAAAACTAAAATTGGAAAGAAATAATTGAAGGTACCTAACTGCATGAACTTGGGAAACTAGCAAAAATACAAGAGGGCTACAGCCAGTCTCCTGCACATAAAAAAAAAATCATTTTAGCACATCAAGCAGAGCCAGAACTGGCTTGGGAAGGGCTAGAGGATGATTCGTCCCACCAGAACCCTGACAGACACACTGAGAAAGCAAGTCCAGCCACCCTGCCCTCAGCAGAACAGATCCCGACATAAAACCTAGCGAGCCACAGCCTGAGGCTTGAGAGCAGGATACACTTTCCAGGCAACACTGCCAAAAGCTTTTACAAGGCAGAACGAGCTCAAAACCTAAAAAAAAATGACCCGAAGACATTCGTGTCCCATCGCCTTCTCCGAGCACAAGGTCCTTGACTCGTACAATGCTCAACAAAAGCAGCCAGCGGACCGTTCCCGGTGTCAAGTGACGAGCTGCTGGAAAAGGACCAGGCTGGCATCAGCCCCAGGGAGCAGAGAGGCTGCAGGAACATCTGCTGGGCTCAGGAGCAGTTTGTTGGCCAGGCTGCCTGCACCCCACTCTCCTGGCTCTGCCCTTTTTCGGCCAGGTGCCAGTCCACGCAGTCAATGGGAATCACTATGCAGGGTTTCGAAGGACCTGAAGAGACGTTTCCCTAGCCAAAAAGGAAGAATTGCTTAAAGCCAGAATTGAAAACATGCTGGAACATCGCAATCCTGCGCAGGAGAGCACGGGGATGGGTCGCAGGCTCAGGCATCACTGTTGCGGCAGGACCACTGGGGGAAGTGGGGTGACGGGCACAGGAGGGGAGCACACGCTCAGCCCCTTTCCTGAACACAGATGGATCCTGGAAACCCTTTAAAACCCCACCTGTCCTGCAGGAGCAGTAATTTGTCTTTTTTTTTTTTAAATTAGGATTTCTTTCCGAGTGGGATGCATCCTGCCAGGAGCACAGTCCCTGAGGACAAGCAGCTAGGATGCTTTAACTCCCAAACCTCCTTGCGCAATGGGTACAAAATCCTGACCTGAGCCAGAGCCAGCAACATCCAGTACAGATGCAATCATTACTGATGATTTAACAAGGTGATTTAACATCAGAGGAGGGAGAAGAAAAAAAAAATGGCTGCGTTTGGGGTTTGGATTTTTAGGAGAAGAGATGGGCAGGGAAATGTTCTCCTTCATTTACCTTCAAAAGTATTAGGATTTTGCAAAAAAAACCCTGCAATGGTAAAAATGAAGAGTCAGTGATTTGTGGAAAATGTGGAAAAGTAGTGCAACCCAGTGTAACTTTCCCCCAAAATAGGTTTTTCTCCCCAAATTCTGCTTCCCAAAAGTGATAAAAACATCCAAAAGGCCATACAACAAGCTCCATCTGAAGCACTGGCAAATTTTAACCCTTGCACTTTCACTCTGTCTCCCCAGGGAGACGGGACTTCACCCAGTCCTGGTGCCTCATTAACCAAAGCTCCGAGCAGGTTTGTTCATGAGAAAGGTGGCTTGGTCTGAGCTTCACAGCAGTAAAGCCCTGTAACAAAATCTCCAGGACATTCATTCCTGGCCTTCCTCAATACTGGGCTCTGAAGGTTCATTCCTGCAAGCTTTCGCAGTTGGTGCAAGAGATACCCTCAGCTGGCAAAGAAGAAAGAAGGAGGCATAAAAACATTTTCTACAGCTCCCCCTCCCCGATTTACCTTTCCAACTAAGCAGGTACTGTTCAGCTAAATGTTCTGGAAAACATAAGCTCCAAGTATCATATGGCAGATGGCTATCACAGTGAAGAGGGATACAGGAATTGATCCTACAGCCGAGATTTCGGCAGAGCGATTGGTGATTTTGAACCCCTTCCCCACCCTCCCCCTTAGGTGCTTGGCTTTGAGATACTTCAAAGTATAGATTCCCACAGATCAGCCTTGCAAAACTCGCTGATAGCACAGCCCAATTGCTTGTATCTCCAATAAAACTCACTTAAATAGACAAAGTAAAGAGCTAGGGATAGGGAGAAGGTAGAAAATAGGATGTGCAGTACTGCACAACACCAGAGGACAGGCCTCCAGCAGCCACTTAGAACTAGTGGATGGAAAGTCTTGGGAAACAATAGAAAACTGAAGCATTAAATGGACTAATTGTCAGCAACATCCATTTTCATTGCTCTGTGCAAAAGGCTTATGCAGGAGTTCACCAGCTCTGATATCTGGGACACATCGGTAGTGGCCACAGCGAGCTGAGAAAGCTGGGCCAGCGTGCAGACACCCGCTTCACCCCTTCCTGAGAAAACAGCCCAAAGACAAGACACCAACGCGATATCCTATAGAGAAGGCAGAATACCAGCTTTTGCCACCTCCTGTCTCCTGACCCAGCTCTGCCCTGTCCTCACCCATTAGGGAAAAGGCGACATGAAAGTCCAAACTGGTAAAAAACAAGCCATGCAATGCACATGCTGAGCAGAGACCCATCCATCACTGCCTGGCTTAGTGCTCAGACTAATTTCACTGGCGTTCAAGCTGGTCCGAATCAGAGCAAAGCAAGTGAGTTAGGAAAGCATCTCCAGAAGAAGACAAGGACTCAGTTTAGGGGAAAGAGGCTTTTCCTAGCCAACAAGCAATAAAGCTTTTCCAGGTGAAGACCTCGATGAGCAAAAGCAGCACACACACACACGTTTTCCCTCCCCAGCACTGAACGTGTGCCCATTTCATCGGGGGGGGACACCGATGCAGCAGCCCCAGCTCCGCACACACGTTCCAGCAGCCCTGGAAAGAAGGGTGAGGTAGCACTTTTCAGAGCGTGGCATCAATAATAACCAAGCGCAGGCAGAGCCAAGGAGAGCTGGTGCCCCCACCTGAAATGCTGCCTCAGAGCTGCCGCTGCATGGAACCTTTATAATCCTATAAAGCCCTTTTATGCAACCTAGGCTGAGTGAGGTCCCGTAAGGCAACGGTGTCAGAGTCGGATGCTTTCTCAGCTCCTCACAAAGACAGAGCTGTTCCTTCCAAGGAAATTTTTCACGGGAAGCGGGGGGGTGTTTTTTATTTTATACACACCCGATCCACAACTGTTACAATTAAACTGCCAGCCAGCACTCTGTGCAATCGCATTATTTCGGATCGAGGGAACTGAGCTTGAGAGGAAGGTGTGTTTGTCCACTAGGAACCTGGAGAGAGACCAAACAGCTCATTGCACACAACCCAGGAAGCTTTAACTCTCTGGAAATTAACTCTGGCCTCTGAAAGCAATATGAACCTACAAAGTCAAGAGACTTTCTGCTTCAGACTTTGACCTACTCTTCTGTGCACCTTGCCTGACTTCTGCTCCGAAGTGCTCTTCTGCACCCTTGCACTGTCCAGACCTCAGGAAGGACCTGGTTGCTCAGTGCCGTACCCACCAAGCTGAGAAGAACCTTTGCAACATCATTTGCACTATTCTCCTTCCAGTTCAGTCTGTCTCTAGTTTGAAGCCAGGAAACCAGAAGGTTTATTATCACCAGATGTAAATAGCAAGACCTATCTGGTTCGCACGTAGCATTACTAGTGGCATTTGGCTGCCTTGGTTGTGAACTTCATGTCAAACATTGCTAATTGCTTTGCTCAAGTTTAGACTCCAATCAGCCAGGGTTGGGAGTGATCCCAAACACAGCCCCTGCCACTGCACGACTCGCACTGATAGCTGCATAGCCAAGTTTTATCTGTAGAACCATGGAATTACTGCCCTTCCAGAGAGGCAATTCATGATGGGTCCCTGTTTTCAGCTCATCTCAGAAGTCAAGTGTTTTTATTGCCTCGTCAGCTCACTCTTCCCTCAGTGTCCCTGTAGTTTCCCTTGTTTAACTGGGGATTTTCCTGATGAGAATTTGAGGGGGACAAGACAGAAGGCAGGCGCCTGCACAGACCTGTGAGTGCACTCGTTTTTGACATGCTCAAGAGTTTCCTTTGCAAGTGCCGCCAGAGACACAAGCCAAGGTGAGCTGCTTTCCTGCAAGGAAACGCCTCTGCTATACCCGCCTGGAACGACAGCCCTGCTGAAATATTGCATTCCTATCCCGGCACTTCCTTCTGTCGGGAGATTTATCTTTGGTACATCTGTACAATGGCCGAATTGATTCTATTTTCACTTTTTACATGAATGTTTTCCCTGCAGTATTGCTATTCTTCCAACCCTTTTTCTTCTTTCTTCCACCACTTCTTTACTTCCTTTTAATAATTAAAAAAAGTTTCTGACAAGTTGACAACTTAAACACCAGCCTTGTCTGCAATACCTAAATTAATGACTCCACAACTCAAGGAGTCAGACTGAGTTATGCTGGGCACCAGGCCTATATTATTATTTTTTGCATCCAACAACCTTCAGTTGCCCTCCCTCTCTCTTCCACCATGAGACTCCTACACTGTGAAGAAGCTTTCCTAAATCAATTTACCATGGTCCCCCCATCCCACAAAGGCTAGCTGCTGTTTGAAGTATAACAAGCCAAAAGTCCAAGAAAACGGTGAATTCCATGGTGAGTGATGGAGACTTGGTATTTGGAGCAAGAGTTGGCCATTGAAGAATCAACTATCTCATTCTGCACTGTGTTGTTTGGATTTAAGTGTTCACAGGTCCAAGTGTCACCATTGTGCTCACACTAACTCTACGTACTTTGGAGGAAACCATCTGAAGAGCACCCACCAACCTCAGCTCTGCTCTTCCCAGAGCTGTCAAAAATACTGGTGTATCCTCAAATCGTTT